GGCTACAAGGTTGGCAAAATATCATCTGTGTCAAAATATTAGTGACTGCGTTCTGTTTCTTGTGGACATTTATTTATTTATTTATTTATTTATTTATTTATTTATTTATTTCCTTCAGTTACCAATATTCAGTCTGCAATTTTTTCAGATTTATATGCTTAGTTCAACAATGTTTCTAAACACACACATATTTATCTATGTTTTCCCAATTAAGTAGTTTATGGAAAACTATCTAAACTATTGTTTCAGCTTCTTTTCTTTTGTTTGACTTTGTTTTATTAATGTTGTTTTTTGTATAAAATAATTTCATCCTCATCTTAATTTCACGTTTTTTGTGCCAGATTTTGTTACTTACAATAATAGATCTAGCCGCATCTTTTAAATTCTTCTGCTCTATTTGCCGATAAAAAAAAAGTCAGATTAAAATTAAATCTGACTAAAAAATAGTCATAAATAATTTTAGTCAAATTAAAAGCGACCAGCGCTTTTAATTTGAAGGCCTTTCTGCAAACATCCGGTGCTGTCCCATCGCCGCTCTGATTGGCTGCTGAGGAAGCCTCCGTTTTCGGGGTGAAGGCAATCATGGAGGAGCTGAGCGCCGTGGGAGAGCAGGTTTTTGATGCCGAGTGCATTTTGAACAAACGGCTCAGAAAGGTGGGGCTTCAGAAACTTCTTTTTCCTCCTCATTCCGCGGTTTTCCGTCCTTCCTCCGGCGGTTTCTCGCTAACCAAACCGCCGCTGTTGCCGTTTTTCTGCTCTCTTGTTTCAGGGAAAGTTGGAGTTTCTGGTGAAGTGGAGGGGATGGTCATCCAAGTAAGTGCTGCTCAGCCCGAACAATGAAAACAACAACAACGTGTCTGATGGGAGCCTGCTGCTTTCCTCCAGAACCGAACCCTTGCTCTTTTCATTCGGTCCAGAACCAGAAGAACACCCCAGACTTGTGTTTTGCTCCTGGGAACTGTTTCTACCTTTATCTGGAACCTCTATAGTTGCTTCTTTTGTTCAGAAATCCAGAATTTTCTTTGAAACTTGGTGCAAATTTGTCCCTGCATCATTAAACTCATTTTGTAGTTGGATTTCAGCTCATTCAGACGGTTAAAAATATTAACTTGGCTGCATTTTTAATAAGTTTTCTGCACATAAATAATCCAAATTTGCAATAGTTTGGAAAAAACAACAAATAATCCTACTTTATTAATCTTTATATTAGTTTTTGACAGAAAATGTGAGGTTTTATCCATGTTGCTGCTGCATCCCTGTAATCCTCCATCAGTTCACACTGTTGCCTGCCAGCTCCAAGGTTTTCTGTTGGAACCACATCCTTTGTGTGTGTTGGCAGAGGGTGGGGGTGGATTATTTTCCTCACTACTGATCAGAATAGGCTGTTCACTTCCACTGATGAAGAGAAAGCTTATTACAGATCAGATCAATCCTGTTTTGCATTTTTTTTTATTTTTCCAGCACTATAATCAAGTTGTTTAATGTATAATAAGGTTCAGAAAAGCAGTGGGGATCAGGGAGGGAGCCTGCAGGTGCTTTAAAAATTGATGCACCAAAGAAAAGGGCAGTTAGAGATTTAAATTGGCCTATTTCCACTTAATCTAATATGTAAATAAAAAAAACATCTCATTTAGTTTCTCTAAATTCACTAAAGCCAAGAACTGCCAACATTTTTTGTCTTCAAATATATCAAAACTGGATCATATTTAAAACTCTTTCTTGTTTATCCAGACATAAACAAGACAGCCACTCATTTCAGCAACATTTTTGTTGTTAATTATTTAGTTTGGCTTTAAAACCAACTTTCCTTATATTTCCCTCTGAGAAAATGACTCTTTAATCGTTGGATGTGATTTTCTATTTATTTCAGACACAACAGCTGGGAGCCACAGGAAAACATTCTGGATCCGAGACTGTTGGCGGCTTTCAATAAGAAGTGGGTATCCCTGGGTTTCCTGTGCAGTTTGTGGTGTTTTCACTCATTGGTTGATTTAATACATTTAGCAACATCACAGAATAACAAAAGTCAATTATTATTACAAGAAAAAATGAAAGAAAATCTTAAATGTAGTTTAAAAAGTAGACTAGTCCAGTTGAGAATCTTTGGGAGCAAAAAAAAAAAACTTTATTGCTGCTTTTTTTGTACTCGAGTCAGAATACAAGATATATTTTTAAATTATGAGGGAAAAAAGTTGGAATATTCCAAGACTTTAGTCATTTTAATAGAATAAAATGCATCTCAGCTTGGTTCTTTCTTCAAAGTGGATGCTAAAATGATAATTTTATGTAGTTGTAACTAAAGGAAAGCATTTCCTTATTTGTTAAATAGATTCCCAAATATACCTTCATAAGATGCTCAACATTCGCCATTTTAATTTTTGATTATTTTGTTTAGGAGTTCTCATAAAATTACCACTGTCATGCAACTTTATCTCGTTTTATGGCTATTTTCATGTAAGAAATAACCTGGCCCTAATATTCCGGTGTAGTGTATATGGATATTGAATTAAAGTTGCCCAAGGGCACGGCCTTGAGGATCCACGCATGTGAATTTTGTCCCGATTTAATGACACAGAAAGGTTCCTGAACCAGTTTGCCGCAGTAGTAGATGATCTCATAGCAGACTGCAAAGTTTTAATCAAGAAGTTAATTTGTCCATTAATAAACTTTGCCAGAATGCACAAGAGTCAGAAGTTACCAAAAGTAGCGTCACTTGCTGCTCGTTTTGTCCTCTCAATGCAAAATGTTTTTCCCATCAGAGAACAAGAAAAAGAGCTTCTGATGCTTAAAAGACGCAAACGACCCAGAGGACGACCCAGAAAGATCATAGTAAGTACCGACCACAGCAGAACCGTCTACTGTCTGGACCAACAATGGACCGCTAAACAATTCCTCTTAAAATTGTAGGAGAATATACCGGAACCCCAAAAGTCAAGCACCTCCTCATCCGCTTCATCCTCTTCGTCCTCTGACTCCTCATCCTCCTGCTCCTCTTCGTCTTCATCATCAGAAGATGAAGATGAGGGCGATGACAGCCGCGCCAAACAGGCGAGCCCGACCGTCAGGCCACGGGAGCTGCATCCCGTCCCTCAGAAGAAGGCGCAGATCGTCATGGCGAAGCAGGAGCCGCAGAGGAAGCGAAACAGGAAGCCCCTCCCTCCGGAGGCGAAGGAGTTCCAGCAGAACAAGGGTCCGCGCAAAGTCCTGAAGACCACCAAAGAGACAGATCTTCCAGGGGCGATCAAGAAGCCGGTTCATCCGGCGAGCTTCACCTTCATGGGTTTCCACCGCAGCTCAGCCAAAGATGCGGCGGCTGGTCCGTACAGGAGCCCGCTGACCCAGGGCGGGGCGGTCAAACCCGCCATCAGCTCGCCTGGATCTGGGAGATCTTCAGTCCAAACCGCGTCTCTGGCCTTGAGCAAATCCAACCAGAGCAGAAATGCAACCGAGGGGAAGCTGTCCATTGGGAACAGCGGAGGAAGTCTGGATCTGAAAACAGCTGCTTGTAAATCCAAAGGAGTAGCTGCTCTGAACGTGAATACCACCAAACATCCAGTTCAAGGAACCACTCAGCACACTCTGAGCCCACCCAGCGGCCCAAAGAAGCCCCAGTCCACCGGGTCCGCAATGCAGCGGGTAGCCGGTACTAAAGCAGGGGCTTCCCAGTCTTCTAAGAACACCTCCTCCAGTCAAGGCCATCAGCCCCTCAACCTTCAGAGCAAGCAGTCCCAAAGCGGCGACGCTCCTGGAAGCGGCACCACCGCGGCATCGGGTCTGAGAAGTCCAGTCATCCCTGCGAGAAAACCCACAGTGGCCCAAAATCTGGAGGCAAACGCCAATAAAAGTCCTGTTTCCTCTGGAAGACCGCCTGCCAGGAAACCGCAGGCTGGTGGAGACAAGCTGAGAGAGATGAAGGAATTCCAGAAGGTCCAAGGCCGGTTGGACAAGTCCTGCTCCGAGATCCAGAACCCGCCGGCAAGAACGGCCACTAAAGGCAGCAAGAAAGCCAAAATGACCGACATGAGCACTGGCGAAGAGGAGAGCAGCTCGGACTCGGACCACGACTCTTCGTATGCTGGACAGGGTCACCCAGTGGCGGGCCAGAACCAGGACTGGAAGCCCACGCGCAGCCTGATCGAACACGTGTTTGTGACCGACGTCACGGCGAACCTGGTCACCGTCACGGTGAAAGAGTCGCCAACCAGCGTGGGCTTCTTCAGCATTCGCAACTACTGACAGTCGACCTGGGCGGGTCTGCAGGGTTCACTAGTTCCTCTCATAGTAGTCGAGACATATTTTAGATAAAAACAATAATAATAGAGTCAGTTATTGATTGTAATTATTTATTTTGTCATATGTATTAAAGTGCATTTTGGACGCAGAGAAATAAACGTTTGTCTTCGTTTGTTGTGTTACAAGAGAGAAACAACCTGCTGGTCGTATTGAGCTACAGGGTCATGTGATCATTAGTCCCAGCCTTAAAGGGACGGTTCGCTTTAGTTTCATTTTAATGTTAAATTCAGAGGTTATTAGCAGTAGTATTTGAATTGGTATCAAGTTTCAGGTAGATTTAGCCAATCGGAACAAGGCTGAGCCAAAATGTTAGAGTCCAATTTTAAAACTCTGACCAGCACAAAGAAACTCAGAAAGCTGGATTATTGTTATATACCAGTACATCAAGCTAAATATTTAGCTTTGAGATTAGTAAAATAGCTCAGTGTTTAGCTGAACCAAATATTTAGTTAGCAAATTAACTGTTTAGCTCATTTAGTTCAGTTTTATTATAAATGTGATCAGAATGTTTCAATCAGAAATAATTAGCAGTGGTCATAAACAGGAGTGAGATTATTTTCATTATTTCAAATCCATCTTTCCTGAGGCAGTTTTAGTCAACATCAACTCTTAAATGTGAATGTTTTGTAACTTATCCGTTTTTGTTTCTGCAGTCAGACGTATCTTCAGCTCTGTAATCCATCACTGTTGCCTCAGCACAGCTCTGACTGGGCTGAACCGTTTGCAGCATCACCACAGGTTCTGTTAACATGCAGGAAGTCAGATACAGTATCTGTGTTCACAGAGTCTCTGACTGGAGGACGTCTGCACCTCTGTCCTTTTCTGCAGAGTTTTAACATGCAGACGGGATAATGAGCAGAAAAACATGTTGAAATTTGAATTTGAGAAAAAAAATGCATTTTTTCAAATGTTTATAAAAACAGTTTAAGACAGCAGTATAAGATGTCCTGTACGGTAACCAGCTGCGTTTCCATTACAAAAATATTCTGCTAATGTTGAAAAAACACACTTTGTGTGAATAAGTTCGTTCACATGATACGTCATTGCCATCATCCTGCTACTTCCTGTCGTCTTCCACCTCTTTTCCTTCAGTAGTAACATCCGGTTGATCACAGTGTGTGATGTAAAAAAAAGTGTTTCCATTGCAGTTTTGCGAAATACACTAATTTTGATACAACTGATTAGGTTGTATTAGTTTCAAAAGTTAAGAAGTCCAACTTTTTAGATTAATCTAAATATTCGATTTTTTTTTAGAAAATGTTTGACGTTTCAAACTCAGAAATTTTCTTATTTTTCTAGAAAATTTTTGGTGGAAATTTACTTTGTTTTCGGTGCATCTCTAGTTCTAAAACGGTTCTAGTTTTATTCCACCCTGATGCAGGTGTTTCAGGCCAGAGGGAGGAAAACAGAATCTGGGTCTTTAGGGTCTTTATCTGATGTAAAGGGAAAGAAACGGCAGCCATGTGCGCCGCTTTCTGCTCCCGGGGGAGGAGTTCAGCAACAAAGCAGCGACTCAACTCGCCTGCAGACTGAGCCGTTCTTTTACCCTAAAGATAGCTGCGGTTTCAGGTAGCTGAATGCAGGGAGGACCCCAGAGCATTGCATGGAGCCGAAACCTGTTTGATTTTCTTATTTGTACTCCGGTGACATGAGGGAGGCGGGTCCTGCTGGGAGAAACAAATGTTGCACGCCTGATTGAAAGCATTTGAATGGTTTAGTTCTGCTTTATTCTTTCATTTAGAGCAAAGCTATGATGTTATTCCACCAGCTGGGAGGCTGACGCAACTCGCTTTTTTACTTTTCTGGCATCTACTTTTTTACAGATATTAACATTAAGCCATGAACTGCCACATGTCCATCTAGATGGGGTTCGTTTTCTGTTTGTGACCTATTTATTTTACCATCAAGCCTTGTGAAACTTGACTAATAAACAGAACAAATGACCTCAGTGTTTGTTTGTTTTCATTCACAAGGAGATTATTTTCTTCAATTAAATGTTTTTTTTGGGGGTTTTTTTTAGCAGTTTGAGAGAGAATGCCTCTTCCTGCCTGGAGATTATTGCACTTCTTCCTAGAAAGGAAGAAAGATTTTTCTAGAAGCCATATTCCAGAATAGAAACCTGTGTGTGTGTGTGTGTGTGTGTGTGTGTGTGTGTGTGTGTGTGTGTGTGTGTGTGTGTGTGTGTGTGTATCCATATATATCCAAATACATATTTATATATTCCGATCAATGTGGAATTAATTGGCTCCATATAGAAATGCCCTGAAAGCATCTTTTCAAGTGTCTGCCAAAAACTACAGTAATATTGAATAAATATGAATATCTGATGAGGCTCATTTGTCAGATTAAAAGTAACATTTCAAAACGTTTAACCATTTTTTATGAGATCCATATTTGGATTATTTTTTATTGTTTTGATATTAAATGCCATGTTTTCTTTAGCTGTAATCAAGAAATAATAATGAATAAATAAAAGTAATCTAAACTTTTATGTGACCAGGTGATGTACATGGAGACTCTTTACTGATGAATACAGTTTAATGAGAACGGTTTTTACTTTCTTATGTATTTGAGTAAATATCCATCAACATTTACTGAAAATCTGAACTTTTCTTCAATTTATGAAGAAATAGTAAACAAAATCTTATTGTTGCTAAGAGTACACTGCAAAAACGGAAATCTTAGTAAGATTAAATATCTTAAATTAAGGAGATTTTTCTTGTTTTCTTTCTGACAAGATATTTTTTCTCACCAAGAGGGGTTTATGCTAGAATATTTTTCTTATTTTAAGTGTTTTTGTACTTAATTATCTCAGTAAGATATAAAAGCTTGATATTAAGAAAATATTACTTATAATAATTTTTAATTATTTTAATTATTCTTATTTTAAGAAAATTATACCCTATTTTTGTACTTTTTTTTCTTGTTTTTGAAAGGGGACTTTTTACAGTGTAGACAAGAATTTCACTAATTCAACTTCAAAAAGTGTAAAAACTGATAAAGGTAAGTTCATCAGTCAGCTTCATATAAATCCAATATTTAATTGTTCATTAAACCGCCACTAGATGGCGCCCTTACACTTGATGCTACAGACAGAAAAAAGTTTTTATACACAATTTAGATGTTACACTGTAGTGCTTCCCTACAAAATAAGATACAATAATTTCACTGAGAACAGTGTAAAGGAACACTCTCTCTCTCTCTCTCTCTCTCTCTCTCTCTCTCTCTCTCTCTCAGAATAAATGTAGATTTGAACATTTATGATTCTCCAGACAGCCTCTTTTTCTTTCCTTCAGGTCTTCATGTGATTTGACTGTGCAGTTTCCAACCGATCACCATAGAAGTGACCACAGAGTAAATATTGGTCATCTAATTTAAATCATTTATAATCAACCTGTTGAACAAGTTAAAAATCTTTAAGCTACAAGTTTTAAGACCAGTTTCTATCCTTCCTGAGCTGCAAACTGCTGCCGCCACAAAAAGTCAAAACGTCTGCATGCCGCCAGAAAACACACCTGGCAAAGCAAAATAAATGACCATTGATTTAAAATCAGATATTTTTCTGTTCTTACCTTCATCAGTGGAGCGTTCTGCTGCTGATTATAGCAGCTGGTTTTCTCCGTTTTCAAACTGTCCAGTTGGTAAAATAACCTCCTTGTCCTTAGATGTTTAGGCTAAAAGTCGAGCTACTTCACTGTGTGAACAAAATGTTCAATTTATTCCAAAGACCAAAACAGAGCCAAAGTGTTTTAGCTGCTCTCATGTATTTAGTCTACTTCATTCATGACCTCTGACCTTTTTTAACGTTTTGGGTCCAAAATGGTGACTTTAGTTACAGAAATATAAAGTTGTCTCATCAGCGTACATGTTACACATCTTCTACTATCTCACAAGTTCAGTCGAATCTCCTCTGACAAATTCAACTAATTAGAATAATATGAAAAAATAATTTATTTCAGGAACTTTGTCACTAAGTGAAACACATTATATAGATTCATTTGACAGCCTTATTTTCTGTTAACTTTATTTATTTTCCATTTACAAGTAATGAAAACTTAACATATAAAATTAGAACATTAAAACATAAAAATCTTTAATATCTTCTTAAAGATTATTTTTAAGAAGTGTTTTTAATCCAACATGCCTCACCTATTTATAATAAAATTTTCTGAAAATGGCGATATATATATGGCAAACAGTAAACCGTAATAATCTGTGCTACTGGGATCATAAGTGGCCAGAGAACAGAGCCTTGAGGAACCTCACATCTGATTTTTGTTTAGCTCAGTTTGATACAAACAGTTTCCCAATCGATCAATGTGTTGTGATCAGTTGTATCAAAGGCTGGATCAGCTTCCAGTAACACCAAACGAGTCAGCATTAAAACGTTTCTAAAAGATTTTGGGGCATTATTTGGCGAAAAAGAATGAGGCTGAATTAAATATAATGACAGAGTTTGGCTTTTGAGCATTAACTACAGGGTTTTGTCAACAGACGGTGTTAAAATGTTGGTCATGACTAAGTTGAACTTTCCCTCCACACAGACAAAATGATAGGAATGTCATCGATAATCTGGAATAACAGAAGGGCAGATTAGTCCTGCATTGTTTCCTGCTTGGCTCCGGAGGAAACCGAGCAGCACCTTTCAGGCCACAGACGCCCCTTTCCCTCTTTCACCACCGCAGTATTTACACAATCCTAACAACACTGTCACACAGCCTGAGGACCTGACAGAAGTTATCATTACACAAAGCGCTCTGTTCCATAATTTATAGAGATCCCTGTCCCAGTCATGTGCAGCTCTCCCGAAATAAATTCAAGTAAACACTTACGCGACAAAGAGGCACTCACAGTGGCCTGGTATGCATAAACAGTATGAACAGTGTGACAGTGTAATACACTCCTGATCCCCCAAACCCAACACACACACACACACACACACACACACACACACACACACAGACACACAGACAGACAGACAGACAGACAGACAGACAGACAGACGAAGGTCAACGGGCCTCAGAGGTTAGAAATGACCCTAAAACTGAACCTCATCGATGCACCTGGGTGAATAAACCAGACAAATCCATCTTCAGTCATACCAAAGCAAATCTAAAACGTGTTATTCTGCAGATTTCTTCATCAGGAGAAACTTTTTTTTTTAGTTTTATTTTCCTTCTGGAACGTCTTTTTGTTTGACATCAGACTCCTGGAGATGGTGATACATTAATAAGAAGGATGAGAAAACAGCCAAATACATCAACATGAAGGCAGTTTGATCTGATGACAGGCAGTCAGGTCGAAAAGAAAGTACACCCCGGTCAGAGCCAGGATGATACCAAGCTCTACAAACTGACCTGGGGAATACATGAGGTTCCACTGTGTCGGGATTTTAATACATAGATATGTAGAGAGTTATAAAGAAAGAGAGACAGAAATAGACAGAGAGAGATAAAGAGAAAAAGACAGAATTAGAGAGAGGTAGAGGAAGACAAAGCCAGAGATAGAAAGAAACAGACACAGAAACATATATAGAGAAATTTACAGAAAGCACTTAGTTAAGTTAAGATGTGGACTTTGAATAGGCCATTAATTCATTTCTTTGTTTCAGATTAGCTGCTTTGTTTGGAGTAACTGAAGATGCAGTTTGGACTGAACTCCTGCAGTTGTACAGATGGACTCAGACTGCAGTTTGTAGTCAACTCCATGACCGAGTTGTCCACGTGGCTGTAAAACCAGCCCACAGCATGACTCCTCCGCCACTGTGCTTCCATTCCTCCCGAAGCTGTTCTTCATTCACATGGAGCTTTGTGAACCTGATCAGTTTTAACTCTTCCAGATGAGATCATTTCTAATTGTTCCGTCATTAGCTTGAATGTTTACCACATTAACAGTCTAGGATAGCGGTTCTCAACGTGGGCGGTACCGCCCCCCAGGGGGCGTTCAGAGGACGGCAGGGGAAGCTGGTGGAAATTTTTACAAAAGGTGGGATTCCTTTGGGGGGCGTATTTAAAATCCCACTGTTTACCTTTACAGTGTAAAGATAAACTTTACACTGTAAAGTTTATCTTTACACTCTGATTGGCTGCTGTTGGCCTACCGATTTTAAGTTGAATGTTCATTACATTTTTCGTAGAGACCTGTGAAAATTTCTATTCCCATTGCTTTTTTGTTCTTTGTGAAATTATTTTTGATGATAAATACAGAAACAAGCATAAAAATCAAAACATCTACAATAGTGCTAGTAATATTAATAATAAAATAATAGTCAGTGCAAAGTAGCCTACAAATTCTTTAGTGGGGGGCGGTGAGGGACCTGGATAAGGGCTGGGGGGGCGCTGGCCCCAAACAGGTTGAGAAACACTGGTCTATGAGGAGCTTCTGAGGAGTTTTATCATTTTTCTCAGCGTTTTGAAAATGACCTCATAACCCTTCCCAGATTGATGGGCAGCAACAGTTGCTCCTCCATTGGTGACGTCTTTCTGTCTTTGCATCAAACTGTCCAAACTTACTGGACTTCCAGATGATTTTTAGCAGCAGACTCGACCTTTCCCCTCTAAATACTGCAGAAGTAGGGAGGATGACGTTTGTTTTCCAGATTCTGCTCGATAATTATGGTGTTATGTTAAAATAATGTGAAAAATAATATCACTGCACCTTTATCTCGTTTGTCTGACTCCTTCCTCTTCCAATCACTGTAACCAAACTGTTTGGTTTCAAACAGCAGAAATAGTTGCTATTCGATTTCAAAGGGAATGTTTGGAAACCCGACCCGGCCCTCCAGCGAACATACCTTACACCCGCGTCTCCCTCACCCTCCTTCTAAATCACTCCACTGGAGCAGAGTAAACAAACTCCAGTTTGCTCTCTGATATTGAGAGGTTCAGACAAGCGGCAGTCCTCCGCTATGACAACACGGCCTCAGACAGACGATGTCATCCATCTTACCTCACTCTCCATCCATCACCGCGCCGGAGTCGACATGTCTGACAGTCCCACTCTCACTTTTCTCACTGGCACGGGTGTCCACATCTGTCACTTTTTCCCCCCAGATTTCTTTTATTACGCCAGACGGACTCCGCCTCCTTCGCACCGAAATGCGCCGACACCTGAAGGACAACCAGGCAGAGAGAGGACTTATTGATTGGTCACGGTGTCTGATGTCATCCAGGCGCAGGAGCCGTTTCCTGCCATCGTTGAACTACCTGGAAAACTGAACGAGAGTCAAACTTTCACGCTTGTATCACCTTCTGAGGAGCTCTAGTCACATTTGACACAAATCGTCCAGATTGTACCATGAAGCAAAGGTTTTCTGAAAGTGTTTCAGAAAACTGGAAGTAAACGCTTCCTTTAAAGGTTTATTTTTAAAAGTCTGAATAAGCTAATAAGTGACTTTTGGGATCTCAGCTTCAGTCAGTCCAGATTTCATAGATTTAGATGTTTTGTAGCAAACACACTAAACCAAGACAGTAAACTATCGTCTGTTCTGGCTGAATGCTTTGAAATGATGATCAACAGTGTGAGGAAATTAAAAAATAAAGTCTACAAACATTATTTGATGTAGAAGTTTGCAGGCCTTTTCTTGAAACACCTTATTCAGATTCAGCATTCAGTCTTTTCATTGGTTGGAGAGCATCAGCCATCTTTATTCAGGTGATTCAACAAAATGTCAAATTTAGTTCTGGGCTTTAAAAAGGCCAATAAAACTTCAGATTCCCTCTATTGTTTCAATACATTCTCAGTAAATTTACATTAAATTTTCCCTGGAAAAGAAGCTGCTAACAAATGACACCAAATCCTTCAAGCTTTGTAGGAATAATAAAAACACGTATCAAGAATATAAAACATTTTCTGTCTTGGACGAAATCAAATTGGCATTTATATGAAAGAAAACCCAGCAGGTTATCAGCATTTGCTTGTTCTAAATCCGATTTTTACCTGTAAATTCTCACATAAACAGGAAAAGAAAGAGTCAACAGTGTGAGGAGTTATTGAACAAAGCAGCTTCTGACATGAAAGCCATTTTCTCTCCCACCGAGGAGTTTCTTTTCACACCCACGGGGCAGGAATCAGGACGTTTCTGCCTCTGCTGTGAAGCTGTGGTAACAAAGTCAAACTGTATCTTCCAGACTTAGGGGGCCAGCGGGAAGTTTGGCCTTCTGATCCTCGTATAATCTGCCCTGGGGAAGACACAGCTCCTCTCCTTACCTCCATCAAAGGCGCCAAGCCTCGACTTTCAGCCTCACATCCTGATCTGATTGAGGTGGAGAGAAAATATTGACTAATTCACCAGACAAAGCAGAGTCAATATTTGGAGCCGTTTCCATGATGCTCGATGGGATAAAACCGGGAATGTGACCCAAACTGCTCTATTTGCATCTTAATAGCAGGAAGAAAGACAAAAGTCAACTTTATTTACATTATTCTAACGCTGAGCTTCCACAAAAGCTTGATTATTTTCTCCAGAGTCTGGAGAGCTTTACTCAACCCACGGAAAAGTCCCGTAAAGCCCGTGGCACCAGGAGGGGCGCTCGGATAAATCAGCAGCAGGCTGTGAACAAGGCCCGGAGCCGGAGGACCTGTGTGCAACAGGACAGCTCTATCGCTGAATTTCACAGGTCATTACTCTGGCTCCAGCCATCGCTGCCTCCAGTGGCTCTGGAGACGGGCAGCTTTTTCTCAGAGACAACAGCTTACTGGGCTTTGTGCCGGCTAAACAAGCGTGTCTGTCTCACAGCAGTAGATTAATGTCCAGATAGAGCTTTTCACTCCTCAGGGAGACCTGCAGAGGAGCCATCCATCAACCTTTGGAAACCATTACACAATAACAGAATAACAAAATCAGGGAGACGGGTTCACTGACAGAACCGCGTCCGCTGGGTTTACAGTGAGCGAGGCGGACAAAGGAGGACGGTTCTCAATTAGGTCCTCACAAGCAAACAGGAAGGTCGGATTTCCTGAAAAACCAAAGGAACTCTGGGAATCCGTCCATAAAACATAACTTTCGTTTTCCCAGCGAACGAACCTGAGTTCAGGGCAAAAAGCACTGTTTTATGTAGTCATTTAAATAAAATTAAATACAGATACTTAACTATAAAACGACTTATAAAATGTAAATATGAAAAGCATGTGTGAATTAAATGTATTTATCAAAGTAATGTGATGCAAAATGTTGTTTTATTAGCTGTAAGCAGGTTAACCAATCAGATGTTAGGCTCTAATAAATAATTTACAAAAAATACACTTAATGATCTAGTTTAGTATTTTTAACATTTAAAAAGTAATAAATACTGATTAAGAATAAGAAACACGTTTTTAGTTGGATGGTGGCACTTTCTGCCCTCCATACAAATGTTAAAAAACTTTTGTTGCTTTTGATAAAGAAAAGTGAAAAATAACTGCACAATTTTAATGACAGATTTAAAGTTAAATTTAACCTAAGTTGATTTGATTTAGTCCATTTATTTTGTAATATTGCAGTTGAAATGCACAGAAAAGCTAAAAACATTTTAAAAATTCCAAAAATTTGTCAGCTTAACAACTCAAAATGCACGTTTCCCAAAATATAAAAAACAAACCTCTCCAAATGAATAAAAATTAAGAGGAACCGCTTTTTTAACGAATCTATTCAAACCTTTAACTTTTAGATGCTTTTTAGATATTTTTTTAAATGAAACATAAAGCAGAAACATTTCTATTCAAGATGATCCTGGGTTTTGTTTTTTTTGGAGAATGATTGATGACTCCATGCTGCTCTGCACCGGCGGCGTCTCCGTTCTACAGGAGCTTCTTCTTCTTTTTCTTCTTCTTCTCTGATTGTCGTGTGTGTGCTAAACACACAAACCCTCAGACCTCCACATGAATGACAGTAAACAACACAAGAGCTCTGGTTGCCTCCCCCCACCATGCTACTCCCACCCTGAGGAGAGAGGGGTCACACAAACAGCATCTGACTGGCTCTTAATTTGTTTAAAGCGGCCCGTTCAAACAGGACACCCAGCAGGGCGAAAAGCTCGTTTCCAGGGCCGGAGCTGCGTTGTTCAGGAAGGAGAGCAGGCTGCTGCTCCAGAGGCGCCGGCTTGTAATTAACACACTGCAGATTATGTTTACAGGACCAACACGGCCTGAATGAGTTTTATGATGGCTGCCATTGTAGCTCTGAAGACACAGCCTCTCTGTTTGGGTCCTGGCCGAGAACAGCTGACAGGGAAAGTTTCAACCTGAGCAGGAATCCTCAGGATTCCCGCTGGTTCCTGATGTGTCTCCTGCGTTGAGCCGCGCTGCATAATTCATCCCTGTTCTCACATCCTGCAGCATTCCTCCACTTGCTCCCAGTCATGCTGCTGCTTTAACTTCACACACCAGATGATTTGATTTTACAACAGCTTCTTGTTCGACCTTTCCATCAGAAGCATCCGCTGCTGCTCATCAATCAGAAAATATTCCCAAACTGTTTTCACACCTGATATTCTGGTAAACTCAGTTCATTTCGGGACATTTTCCCTCCTCAGCTGTGGGGGCGCTGCACCAAAAACCACTGAAGGAAACAACACAAAAACCTCTGAAGAAGACACTGAGCGCAACTTCCTTTTTTATAAAATGGAAACAAAAGTGGAGTTTTAGTGTTTGTGGGATTTCTCTTCTATCAAGCCGTTACTTCTGCTAGCATGTTTGTTTCGGTTGCATTTACCCAGAATACCTTGTGCTGTAGTCCACTTCCTGCTTTTGGAGCGGTCTCTGGTCTGCTCGGTGTTCACATACGCCTTCAAACCGAACCAAAATTCAAGAAATAAAACTACATAATAATGCTCAAAAAAGTTGAGTGAAATAAGACAAAACTAACTTACAAGTAAATTATCAGCAAGATATGGGAGCATATTTTGAGTTAGGTGAAATAATCTGCCAATAGGAGAAATACCTTTTCATCAATATTAAGGAATTATTTACTTGAAACAATCTCCAATCCTGATTTGATTTATTTTAGTTTTTAATTTTAGTTTTTAAAAACAAGAAAACAAAACATCAGTAGGACAGAGAAAACATGTACTTACAAAGCCAAGAACAAAATAATTTGTTTTCAACAACTTTTCTGTTTGAAAAGGAGCAAAAGGAAGTGAAAAACTTACTTAATGCAACCCTTTATCTAAATTAAATGAAATATGTTACTTACAGACTCAATTAAAAATGTGTAAGTAAAACCATGTTATAATATTCATATGCCTGCTAAAAATCCTGTAGAGAAAACTCATGCATCATATTACATACAATAAATCGGGCTGGACAGTTATTTGTAAGTTATTTTAGTCTTATTTCATACCAACATGTTTGCGTTAGAAACTAGACCAAAACTACTTGTTAAGATTTTGTGTTTGGTTTTCAGCTGCAGCGTTTAAACAGCAGTAAGATATGAATTCATTCCAGACTTGTATTTTATCTCAGGGTTAAAATTTCGAAACAAGCTGAACATGAACTGTGTGAACGTCTTCCAGAGGATCTGATCCCAGATCGGGAGGCAGGGAAGAGCCGGTCATGTGGAAAACAAAAGCCTGGCTCCTCCATCCATCTTCCCAAACCTGTGTGTCTAAAGCACTTCACAGTGAATTAGGCTGAAGTGGAAACCCACTCTCCAGACTTGCAGCCCTTCTTTCCAGGTGATAAATCTCCCGTTCTCCAGCGCCGCGCTGCTTCAGCTCTCCCCGAGAGTCTGACCCGAGACGCAGAAGCTTCAAACAGCGACACCAGACACACGGCGGCGCAAATTCAAGCCACATATTTAGTGAAAAGCAGCAACACGTTTCCCTGTAGTTTGGGTTAAACTCCTGTTAATCAAAGGCTGCATGTTCCATAGGTTGAATATACAGAAGAGAAGAAAAAGAGGAGTAATTCTCTCTAATTAACACGTTGCAGCTTGTTTGTAATTCATATGCAAACAGAAACATAAAACCAACAATTTGTGGTTTTAGGAGGAGCAGCCTACTCAAACTATTATGAAAAACAATAACTGAAAATATATTTGACATTAATCTTAATTCCTGATTGGGAGCTTTAATCCAAGCCGTCAGAACTTCAGGTTCTTGTTTTGAACGGCTGAGAAAAGCTGGAAATTCAT